AAATACTTTTTTACTACAGCTTTTACTATTTAGAGAAACCTCAAATGTGTTAGAGTGCTCGCACTTAAAGCGTGAAACAAATAGTACTAATTACTACTAAATACTATTGATTATACAATAGGAAACAAAGGAATTTGTATAATTTAACACCTATTTCGGTAGTATTTATATTTCATGCATTTAGTGCGAGCACTCTATTTTCACTAGTGAAAATATCAATTTTACGAAATGGATAAATAATGGTATTGCATAGATAATTAAATGATAAAAGGATTATCCTATGGATATTATAGCACTATTCACCCTTCGTTCAACCGGCTCCTGTACAGTGGGGTGTTTGACTATAGAGTCTGAAAATTGAGCACCTTTAAATTTTGCGCACTCCTAAACAAAGCTACAAGGAACGAAAGGACCGGCGAAGTAGGGAATCTAAGGACCTGTTATCGGGAAGGAAGGAAATAAGAAAATAGATGGGAGGAAAGAACACAATACCAAAAGACGTTTTCAAAAACAGTACTTGATACTTGTTTAGTTTATTCATTTTTTATTCAAGACAAGTATTTCTATTTATCTTCAAGTCAACAACGCAGATACATTTTTTTTTCAAGACAAGTATTTCTATTTATCTTCAAGTCAACAACGCAGATACAAGGCAAATTTGTGTAGCTATGTATCCAATGACTAATCTATTTTCCTTAAATATATTAATAATTACATTTAATGTGTATTTTTCATAATTTTCATTTTTTCATCGCTAACGTATTCAACGTCATTCGCACCTCCATCAAGAACTTGAATTAGTGAAGTCGGTCATGCCTCCTCACCAGGCAACTCTTTTTTCCTCGTTTGGGCTTCCTTTGTAACGGTCATCTTTGGACGCTAGGGACTAGAGACGAGAAAGTACGGCCCCATTCTCCTTCTTCTGACTCCCAAAAAAGACAGGAAGCCCGTGATTCTTAGTGATGCCTGCGGAGGCGGCTAGGTCATGGTATGGTTTGTCGAGCAGGTACARCCTTCACTTGAAATATTTTAAGCTTTCTTCTGTCGCAAATACATCTCTGCATGTTTTTGTAATCCAATAGCTCTTCCGAACTCTTGACTTGTAATGATATTCGCTAAAGTTTGCAAACTTTTAACTTGACTTTCTAAAGTTCGAGTCGACGGAATTCATTATCTGGWGTGACCAGCTCGCCACCGAGTTTCTGTAATGCGAATTTTCCATTTTCTGGCTGTTCTTACTTGCTCAGCATTTAGTATAGTATAGCAAGATAGCAAGCTATCTGTCAAAACCTCTTACTATACTGTGCCCAAAGTTTTTCTAATCTTTTCCTTTTTGTAGGGGGAACGATAACTTAAATAGTAAAGAGGCCATGTTAGTGTACAATCGGTGTTCCGTAAGGCTTCATTTAGCAAGGAATCTGGTTTTGTGCAAGTTGGATCAAGTCGTAAACTCTTGTCCTATAAGAAAAAAAATACAGTAAGGAAAAATCATTATCTGAATCGTTACTTTGTATCTTGATATTTTATTGGATATTATTTATATTTATTAAAGTTCCAGGGTCCACCACCGTTTTAGTTTTTTTCAAATGCGGAATATGAGGAAAGTTCAAATATCCATTTTTAATCCGTTTCCATCGGCTCCATCATTACCCTGGGAACCAGAGGCTGGATTTACTCGTTCTTGTAGTTTATATACGGCGCGAAGCGCCGTCCTTGAGGCCGAACCGACGGTTCGGCCTTCGGCCTCAAGGACGGCGCTTCGCGCCGTATATAAACTACAAGAACGAGTAAATCCAGCCTCTGGTTCCCAGGGTACTCCATCATGGGTTTTAAGGTCGAATCTTACAGTATTTCCATTCATATAGTAGTGTAAAGTGATAATAAAGAGTAAGTTATTGCATATATTACGATGCATTTTTGAATTCAAACTTTAACAAGGCCCTTCAATTATTATTTTATTACCTGTAATTTAAATAAGAGTCGCGAATCACTTTCAACATGTAGTTAGCGGCATCTCTTTCACTTTGCGCTGGGCTRAATCGAGCTCTAATGAACAATATAACATAAGATTAGCTTACATAGTGACATGTCTCCTTTAGACCTATGCACAAAAGATCGTTTTAAATCATACTGCAATAAATACACGAAAAGAAGGCGTGAACTATAAAAACATATGAACGTAATTCACAAATGGAGGACTGACATACTTATTTCAAAAAATGTTGTCGGATAAAATGGCGACTGTCAATTTTCGAACGGCGATTGCACGACCGAAAGTAGCCATGGGTTTTGCTAATTGGTRAGAAATAACAATTTATTTAAACTGTAAGATAATCTGTGGTAAACATTGGTTTTATTTAGTCTCCATTTCTATGCAATGTGAATCCAATACGTGAAATTTTGTTTGTCAAATCAGAGTAACCATACACCGACGAAGGATTAACGTCCAAAACGTCAATAAGTCATTTCACCTACTTTTTTACGGTGTTAAATTTATCTTTTTACACAACTGTTTCTTTTCAATTTTTATTTCACATCCTTTTTTACGGTGTTAAATTTATCTTTTTACACAACTGTTTCTTTAGAAACACCGACGCAGCTCACACTAGTTTGCCGCTAGTTCCCACCAGAGTAATCATAGTCCCTTTCGGTCGTGCAATTTCCCTTCGACAATCACCGTTCGCCGTTCTCTACGACAACGTTTTTTGAAAAAGACAAATCTTTGAAGTTATATAAACGCTGCGCTAGACATAATATACACTGACACAAGCATAGCAATTTATAAGCTTTCATAATCATAATCATAATCATAATCATAATTTTTATCATAATCAAAACTTTATTAATGCTTCAAAAAGACTCTTCCGTAACAATTTACACTAAAATTCACTTGTGCTATGTAGTCGCGTGGACCACATTACACATGGACACTTTGATTTTGTTTCATGGATTGAATATCTTCATAATGTTAACAGAGTTAGTATTTCTCAGATCCTTACCTCAGTCTCTTTAAAGTCTCGCCTCTAAAGCATGGAAGACCTGTGTCAAGCATCAGGGCTACAAGCGAGACAATRGCCTCCTGATACGGTCTGAGAATAATTACAAAATATATTCACATTGTAATAATAATAGTCATTCTATATGTAGRTCTGATAATAAATTGAATATTTACCTGACTGCAAGATACGACTTGACACACAAGTCCATGAACCACCTATATGAAAAATGTCAAATAATAATCAAACCTTTTGAAAGGAATTGACCTATTGCACAATTACGTCACACCAAAACATTCTATTGTTTTATCGCTAAAAAATATAGATGAAATCAGTGATACATAGTATATACATGTGTCTAAACAATCATTTCCAATCTATAATGTCATTTTTGCGATTTGAAAATTGGCTTTTAGGCAGTTCAAAACAAAATATCTGAAATATGCGGAGCTTATGTCTACTTTTTGTGGCTAGTGCCTCGTAAGAAGCTCAAGCCACTATGCTATCGTCCTTGAAAGTATGTGTGTCTGTGTTCATAACTCGGTTAGTCTTCGGTCGAATTCGTTTCCTACTGATGGCGGACCGACCTTATTTCGGTATCGCTCGTATAAGTTGAGATTTAACAAATAGATCTCATTTTTCCGTGTGTGTGTACTCTAATAGATACACAGATGACGTCAAAATGTAGTGAGAACAAAAATGTACGTGACTGTTGTTCTCACTACATTTTGACGTCATTTGTGAATCTATTAGAGTACACACACACGGAAAAATGAGATCTATCTGTTTTATACAACAAACAATTAGTTTTGACGTAATCCGTGTATCTATACTTTGATAACAAACGAAAGCCAACCATTCAAAGCGTCTGATTTTACTGAAAAGTTATATAATCCTGTGTAATAATGTCATGGATATAAGTCTACTACCCTACCCATACTCTTCATGATCACTTATGCAGGCTGTTTACCAGTGAGCGGAGATGAAGAAAGTCATTACCTGAATGGAGGCGACTCCATTGTTCTTCCCATTATCATGACCATTTCGTGAGATATTTTCATGTCTGGTTCAAATCCAAGATTACCACCAGGTGAAGACTCGAACATGAAACCAAAATCTGAAAGTTGAAATGGAACGCGAACGATGATTGGTTAATACCGCAACAGGCAACGAGCGCTATGATTGGTCAATAACCGTAACACATAACACGCGCTATGAAACAAAAAATTGTAGCCGTCTCATTGAAAAGTGACTTCTGGGAAGGTGTCAGGTGCACAACTTATGCTTGCTCAGGAAGTTGAAACGGAACGCGCACTATGATTGGTTAATAATGCCATATATAACACGCGCTATGATTGGTCAATATCGCAACACATAACACGTGCAGTTTTCCAGTCTCGAAACAGAATGGAAATACAGTCTTTCATTAGGTTTTGGTAAGGCCTTTTCACAAGGGAGTCAGTTGTCAAATAAGACAGCGGTCACCCGCTTTAAAAGACATACTGGTGCTCTGTCTACCCTTACATGCTTCAAAGCACCAAAAAAATAATAATTGTCCGATATTTTGTTTGAAGAAGTGCTAAATAATATAATATGCAATAATAAAATAATAATAACAACAACTTTATTTACTGACGGTAGCACTAAAGTTGTGGCCCTCAATCTAATATATCCATTTAATAGAAAATATCTTCTAGGAAGGTGCCTGCAGCCTTTAAACTTACCAATGTGTATAATGTGACCAGCTCGATTCAACATCAAGTTCCCATTATGTCTGTCTTTGATTTGTAGCAAGAAACTAACAATAGAATACGCAGCCATGCTTTTGATRAAATTGGAACGAGCCTACGATGAAATATCAATCATTATTACGAAAAGTGTAGTAACAAATGAGATAAATGAGGCATTGAAAATGGATAAATATCAATTATAATGATATAGATGTAATAGTACGATCCCTCTGATTGGTCCAAGAGCGTAATTTATTTCGCCGGGAAATGCACGCATTCGAGTAGGACTAAATTTCTATATCATAAAAGCAATAAAGGGTGGATTTTGCCGTGCGTTTATCGGTGAAATAAAGAGGCCTTTTTCGTGTTCTCCCAAAATCCCCAGCGTGCTTTATTTCACTGATAAACGCATATCCTTCATTGTTTAAATAAAAATGCACACTCGTGATATAGATGTAATAGTACGATCCCTCTGATTGGTCCAAGAGCGTAATTTATTTCGCCGGGAAATGCACGCATTCGAGTAGGACTAAATTTCTATATCATAAAAGCAATAAAGGGTGGATTTTGCCGTGCGTTTATCGGTGAAATAAAGAGGCCTTTTTCGTGTTCTCCCAAAATCCCCAGCGTGCTTTATTTCACTGATAAACGCATATCCTTCATTGTTTAAATAAAAATGCACACTCGTTTTTGATTGGCTAATAAAAATGCACACTCGTTTTTGATTGGCTAATAAAATCTGTCAATAGTATTTGACCGAGTACGACCGTGTGGACTATAATTGTTTAATATTTCATACAATTGAAAATAATACCTGTTGAAACTGCGGAGTGCTTTCGTCACCATAGGTCTTGACGTAATACTCGTACAAGTCTACCTCGGTCTGGCGACCCAGCTGGTCACGTGACTCTGAATCAGGTACGCATTCGATGACGCCACACTGAAAAAGTGAAGCACAATTCAATATTAAGTGTTGAAAGTTATCCTTTAGCAGCATAGTTGAGTGATGTGGAAAATACAAAATGTATTACAAATATTTTACGTGTTTATTCTATCTCGCTCATTCCCTGATGATGCTGTAGACAGCGAAAGCTCGGAATCATATTTTTGTTGTAAACTCGATCTACACACTTAGCGGCTTCGGCTACATTTTGTATTTTCCACATCACTCAATATTAAGTGTTTAAAGCATATTGTAATAAGTGAAGAGATTGGGTATTGAAAATGAATATACCATGCATGACGTAATTTTGTGCTATCAAAAATAGAATAGACTCGTTGCATAGTACGCCAAAACAGCTTCATCTAGAGGACAAGACAAAAGATTTTTGCCCTCTTGGGAACTAGAATCCAAACAAAGATTGTGATTTGATAAAACAACAAAGAGAGACAGGCAATACAATAAACCGAAAATGTCCAGTAGAACAATAGGTATTGTCTGACATAATTCTACAATTCTTTGTTTTTGTTGTCTCGATCAATCATAAACTTCGTTCTGACGTAGTGGTTGACCCTTTTGTCCTCCAGTTAAAGCTGCATTTAGATGAACTTCAAGGAGTCTATACGTACCCCTGGAGATGTAGCAACTACTCTGTACGGTTTCAAATAGACGTCAAGGCCGATCTCCTCGAAGATGTTCTTGAACAATGAGATGACTTGTAAAGCGAGCATATCCTGTCTGACGTCATCACCCACTTTGAAGATTGCCGCTTGCCAGTAAATACTGCTGTCTTGATTTGTTTCTTTGTTTTCTTCGGATTCTTGAGGAAATTCTGAAAATGAACAGTTTGCCGTATTTGAGATTGTGTATGGAAAATGAAGTGACTTCAAATTTCCATACGCTTCCATTTCCATCAGTTTCTATCATTCAGTTTTAAGGTCAAAAACGTCGGTACAATATCTGCATAAAGAGCAGTATTCTATATTCTATATTCTATATTCTATATATATATAAAGTATTCTCCTTTATAATGATTTTTATTTGCAAATATAATTAAAAAGCTCGTAAAGGATGCTGTTTTTTCCCGTTTGCCTCAAATGTATGACAAATCAACCTCGTTCCGAGGTTGTCTCTCCTTCGTTTGGATGAAAAGGGCCTGGAAATGAGCTCATTCACCATATTTACCTTTTTTGGCATTGATATTCTCCAACTCAGAAATCCCACACCGCTGTACTCTAAACTTGGCTAAGAATGGAGCTTTGGCGGCGCTCTGCATGGGTCTCCCYGARGTCTTGTCTATCTCGAGTACCATGGCTTCTGGATTGCTTGGTAAGTAGACGCCTGGCTCTGCCGTTATTTGACTTAATGCATCAAGGCAGGCTTGTTTACGTTCATCACCTTTGGGGTACGGCCTAATTACACAAAATACAGTTGAAGMTTCATTGAGTGATCATAAATTTAAGAGAATTGGAAGCCCTACAATCTTCCGCAAGCGAGAGGAGACTAATGACCCCTCACCCTTCTAAAATATTGTTGCATGGGACAGTTGTCTGTCGGTCTTGGGATATTTCCCTCTCATTGCAGTCCCCGAATCAACATTGAAAATTGGATAGGGGAAAAGTGTGTAATAATTCGTGTTGTCTGATATTTTTTACGCAGAAGATTGTAGATTATAAAACGAATTTCATATGTGCCGAATACAATTTCTAGTCTAGTCGTCGGCATTTGATTTAGACGTCGAATTTTAATCGTCGAATATAAATCCCAGTCCCCTCTCGGTCACAGTGTTTGCCAATAAAAAGGATAACAGACACTTTTTCAARTATTTCAAGAAGTATGAATTAAATTTGGAAAACAGGAGATCACGTTAACTTACTTAATAATGGCCGAGATGTTGGTGACTTTATCAAAGAAGTCAAACTCTCTTTGATAAAACTCTCTGGCTGGTCCCGATATCGATTCGATAATCCTGCTAATAATRTTTTCTAAATGATCTCCGATCTGTGAGTCTTTGTGCTGAGATTCCTCGTCTGTGTAGATGTTTGTTTTCATGTTCCAAATAATCTGTAAAAGATATAGAGTAAGCTCGACAAACCCGTGAAAAAGATAGAGTGGTTTTCATAAACCCGCAAAACAAAGTGTAGTAGCTAAAATGTGTGACATAAAAYAAAGTCTTTTATTTTGAGAGGGTAGCACGTAATAGTCTCTAGACTAATAAACTTGTGACCCTCTATATATTCACTCATACTCACTACCTCAACATTCATTATTTTACTACACGACACTCCTCACAGCTAGTTTTTGATGGAGGGAGGAAAACCAGCGGACCTGGAGAAAAACCCTCGGAGCAAGGAAGAGAACCAGCCTACAAACTCAAATCACATATAGTCCCGGACCAGGAATCGAACCAGGACCACAGCGGTGATAGACCGGCGTTTTAACCGCTCGGCCATCCTTGCTCCCCTNATATCAATCATTATTACGAAAAGTGCAGTAACAATTAAATGAGATAAATGAGGCATTGAAAATGGATAAATATCATTTATAATGAAATAGATGTAATAGTACTAAAGCATTTGAGTAGGACTAACTTTCTATATCATGAAATCAATAAAGGATGGATTTGCTGTGCGTTTATTGGTGAAATAAAGAGGACTTTTTTCGTGTTCCCCCAACATCCCCCGCCTTTCGAAAAGCAAACATACTACGGGAGACTGTGACATTTTGACCTTCATCTTTCTAGTATAAAGAAACTTCGGCTGAAAGGTTCGGCTGTACGTAGAATACACATTCACGGATGCTATTTTAAAAACATGTAGATACTTCTGCTACTCTTTACAGAATGACAAAAATCAAAATCCGAATCTACATAGCCTATCCAACAGAGATACGCACGACTTGTTGGACGATCAAGATCACAGTTTTTCCTCACTGACTTTTCAATCTAGCGATCAATAAATTCGACTTTGTAAACCATCTTTCCGTGTTGTTTTGTTTTTTAAAGAGTCAGTCTCGAAATAGCCTGGATATCGTTATTTTGACAGTGAATTTAAACCAATCAGGAAGCGTGGCCTCTGGAGGCCGCTAATACACGATTTAGCGGCTCGTTATAGCAGGCTCTCCTTTTTTTTCCGCTAGTCCGCCTTCCCACCCCCTCCCCTTCCGTTTTCCCCCTCCCCCCTCCCCTAGAGCCGCCATGCAGGCTAGTGCTTTATTTCACCGATTAACGCACATCCTTCATTGCTTAAAAATGCACACTCGTTTTTGATTGGCTAATAAAAGCTGTCAATCGTATTTGACCGAGTACGACCGTGTGGACTACAATTGTTTATTATTTCATACAATTGCAACTAATACCTGTTGAAACTGCGGAGTGCTTTCGTCACCATAGGTCTTGACGTAATACTCGTACAAGTCTACCTCGGTCTGGCGACCCAGCTGGTCACGTGACTCTGAATCAGGTACACACTCGATGACGCCACACTAAAAAAGTGAAGCACAATTCAATATTAAGTGTTTCAAGCATATTGTATAAGTGAAGAGTTTTATTGTCGAGAAGGTGTCAGTGAAATGGGATATTGAAGATGAATATACCATGTTTGACNAAAACAAAACAAAACAAAACAAAACAAAACAAAACAAAACAAAACAAAACAAAACAAAACAAAACAAAACAAAACAAAACAAAACAAAACAAAACAAAACAAAACAAAACAAAACAAAACAAAACAAACACACATACAATATTTTAGAAGGAACAAACCTGAAATAATCAAGTGCATTGCAGTAGATTCTTTCCCTCAAAACATTCTTAGCAATTGAGTTGGTTAGGAAATCTCCTTGTAATATACACAAACCAAGATGTAGCAGTCGAAATCTTGGCTTGAGAGCCACGATGTGTCGAGACAGCAACCCCGAGCGTTTGGGTGACAACGGAAGTGATCGTTGCAGAAGACCTGCTATGATTTCCACCTATAGGACCCAAAACAGATACACAAGGTTGAAAAACGTAATACCAGGATATTTTAAGTATTCAAAAATTCAGTGAATCGTATTTACCTAAACATGTTTAATGATAGCACTACTCTTAGAGAAAGTCATTTTATTCAGTGCAGGTAATCTTAAACTTAATCTTAAATACTCTTAAACACTGTTATACTCAAAATATATGCCTTCCCATGATTCCTTTCTGTCGTAGTGTTCTATTATTTTGATTCAGACTACATTTTGTCTATTAGTCCAGTGTATGTAGACAATGGAGCTTGAGAAAAGTGAAATAGCCTCTTTGCATGAAACGGTCACATGGTTTTTTCTTCGTCACATGGTTCATTCTTCGTTTTCAAGTTACGTCACAGCGGCCATCTTGGGGGAACTTTAACAAAGGATTTCTAATTAGTATCTATTGTTCAGTCCTCCAACATGGCCGCCGGTCTTTTATCTTTTGAATCTCATGGGAATGGTTGAAAACGATCAATTCCGCCATACTGGATGGCAAAAGAATGTAAACAACCTCAAAAACAAACAGGAACGCAGCCCGTCAAGACTGACTTTTCTTTGTTCTGAAYATCTCAGTATGTATTTTGCCATCCAGGATAGCTGCGGACTATGTGACCGTTTCATGCAAAAGACCTATAAGATAAACATAAACACCAACTTGTTGTACGACATCGATGCTGTTGAAGATCAACATGGGTCGGTCATGCCTTGTCAGGCAGCAACGTTTTTAAGTTATATAAATATAACACGAGTAGAAATAAGAGAAAGTTCTAGTGCTAGGAAAGGTTAGTCCGGGAGAAAAACCCTTTCAAATAAATTCGTAAAAATTAATTTTTGACCTACTGATGCTCTACTGGCTTTGACCTTGAAGCTCAGCTTGTAGAGCATCGGTAGTCGAAATCCGAGGGTCGTGGGTTCGAATCCCAGGTCTGAAATTTACTTTAAGTATCTCATAGTGCCATGTGGTCCTTACATAACWATAACRCGATCTAAAAGAGCCTARCCTTRTAAAACCGTATGTACGTAGCCTACAAAAGCCATGAAGTTTCAATTTTAGTTTAAATTCAAAGTTTACCTGGTCTGAACTGTAATATTTGGCGATTTCAAATCTCTTGGCCAAGAACTTAATCCAAATATCATGAGGTGCAACATCAGGAGGGGAGGGCGGGGATTTGTCGTCTTCAAAAGAAGCCAATGGACTTTCCATTGGTTGACAAGGTGAGAACATTCCCACTCGACGACATACAGTCCATTGCCAAGCCCAGCTGATTTCACTGAGGATCTAGAARAAWGGAGCAGTTGTTGTTATTTTGACCGTGAAARATTAGGGAGACTAAGTCCTAGTGTCCACGTAAACGTCCCAATCATAATTCCTTGAGGAAAATAGAACAATGAAAAAAACTTATTAACCCTCTAGTTATTAGTTAAGACGAAAGCCTAAAATTTATCTTTTGCAACCTTATTCATTGTAGACTAGTACATTTCACTTAATGACATGAAATGATAAATTTTGTTGTTGATGATGATGTTGCGTTGTTGTTGTTAACGGTATTGCTGATGCTGTTTTGTTGCTGTTTTGTTGTTTTTGTTGCCGTTGTTGTTGTTGTTGTTAACGTTATTGCTGGTGCTGCTGTTGTTGCTGTTGCTGTTATGGTACTGTTGTTGTTGTTGTTGCTGCTGCTGTTCTTGTTGTCGTTGTTGTTGTTAAAAATGCGTTTTCAGATCCAGACAACTGCGTTTTTCGATCCAGACAACTATATGGACATTAGGCCTAACAGCTGATATCAAACTATATTGTTTTCTTTTTCTCTTTACCAAAAAATACTAACTAGTCATTCTCAGATTCCCAAATGAAAATGACTCTTGCGTTTCGTTCATGATTTTGGTTTTCAAATTTTTCCAATTTTAATCGAGAGATAAACGGAGAACAGCTGGATGATGATGATGATGATGATGATGATAATGATGATGATGATGATGATGATGATGATGATGACGATGATGATGATGATGATAGCAATGATGAAAAATGCTGACATACGTGAAGTTCGAGGTCTTTCCTTGCACCTAATATCCATTCCCAGCAAGAAACAGCCGTGGACAGTGATTCCTTGGTAAAGATCTGCGCCGGACGCCAGCAGACGTTATGGATTAACTGTCTGTCAACCTCTAGAGTATATCCAAAAAAAAAAATCACATAAAACATTGAATATCATAATAGCAGTTCCAGTCATTTGACCACTAACATCTCATTATATGAAATTCATCATTGCCGGATTTCAAGCCGAGTGAGGACTGGGCAAAATCCCCTAATTGGATAATCACGAGATAAGACTTACATAGAAAGAAAGCCCTTGTTGAGAAATGCAAAATTCCAAAATTTGATGTAAATCAGTTCAATAGTGAACGAGTTACAGCCTTTCAAACATTCTAATATTTCAAAAGAAATGTATGCAAACTCGCCAACGTGTCCGGAAAATGGTCAAAATGCGGACACATTCACGGCTTCCCATACATTTCTTTGGAAATTTTAGAATATTTGAAAGGCCGTAACTAGTTCACTATTGAACTGATTGACGCCAGAATTTGGAATTTGGAATTTTTCAACGTGGGCTTTCTTTCTATGTAAGTCTTATCTCGTGATTATCCAATTAGGGGATTTTGCCCTAATACGGACAGACAGACAAACGCACTGACCGCCTGATTAACATATGCTACACTTACCAGGKGTCGTGACAATWACAGCAGTGGCCTTGTACATGGCAGCCACAAAGGATTCCACTTTAGCCGAAGTGCTCCCAGTCAGCTCTTTGTTAAGAACCTTAAATAAAAGTTTGTTGACRTCTTGCTCTTTCTCTGCTTTGCTGGCGATGATAACCTTCATACCGATGATCTGAGAAAAACAAAAGGCAAAATAGAAATACATTAACGAATGAATGAATAAATGAGAAAAGGATGGATGCGAGGTTAAATTTCCGACGACTGAAGGAATGACTGATTGTAGGGACGGATGGATGGAAGGATGGATGGAAGGATGGAAGGAGGGAGGGAGGAATGGATACGTGAGAAGAGACAGCTAGATTTAAACTGGATACACGAAATAAAGTACAAGAATAATTTGCATCCATAACAAGCTCAGCCGTCGAGATTTCCGTGCGCGCCCTGAATAGACGATCTTTCACTTTAAGCCCAAATAATTATTGCATAGCCTCCTTTAGTAGCCTTCCCAGTGTCGTCACGCAACGCACACAGAGGCGGCTGCTAAAAGATGCTAAAATATAAGCACTGAATATCAAAAGAACATGACACAATAAGCTWTCCTTGAAAATTTGAGCTCACTTGATGAAACACGTTTCGCGCGCGACGAACGGTTTTAGAAACTCCTATTTTCAGAGAGAATGTGTAGTCTCATTACCGCCGCTTTGCCACGCAACACTATTTTGTTACATATTTTAAACTCTATGCTATGAGCAAAATTTTATAAACAAAGATCCTCAWACACTCTTTCCACTGACAGTGCAGAATTACATAGTGAATAGAGTATCATGCGCGAGTACGAAATCCCAACGTCTGGAGAAATGAGCCCAATTCTACCTCTCCTACGTATTTACTCCTAATGGTCAAGCCCGATGAAATGACAGCACAGTCTTTTTTAAAACAGCTTGGTCGCCGTTCAAGAGCGGATGCACTAAGAGAAGCACAAGACGATGATATGCCAGCAAACTGGATGATATTCTCCATGGCCAGAGCGAGCCCTGTGTGTTGAGATGTTGACTGTGGTACTTGTTCTCTTTTCATGATATAGTCCTGAATGAATTAACACAATGTTGATAAATTATCGACATAATTACAATCAACCCCCGTATAACGGACACCCAGTTATTAAGGACACTTCGATAAATCGCCGCTCTAAGAAAATTACTAGAAATATAATCAATTCTTCCCCTGCAACCACCCGAGATTACGGAAATCCGATATTATTGAATTCCCCGTATTACGTACACCCACGTATAAGGAAATTGCAGTTCAAAAAATAATCAACTTTCACTTGCGCCAACACGATAATACGAAGACCCCCATATCACGGTCACTTTAGTTGAATAAATGGCCGATTCAAAAGAAATTACTGCAAATACACTGACCTCAGTCTGACCATGCGGACATCCCGATATTCATGCATTCCGTTGCATAAATATCACAACAATTAAAATATATCAAATATCGGGGTAGGCAATGCATAGCGCAGGTTCGAATCTTAGTGTGCGTCCTTCCAAAAATTTCTTTTCAGTTTAAGTTTAAGTCTTTGAAATTTTTTGAAGTCCTTCCCCACATAATTGAGACATCAAAGGCTTCTATGTGCAGATCAGCGCTTCTGCATAATACAGTCACAAACCTGCAGCAATGAACGTGTAGCCTCAGGAGCCCATTTGATAGCTTCTTGGAGAATACCACTACACCGAGCAGCAAAGTCTCCCACAGTCCCCTCTCGACCTTCCATTTCCTCGTGAACCATGATTTTGTAAGACGTCCCGGGTACGAGTACCTCCATCGTCTGATGATTCTCTTTCTATAATACGTTACACACAGATATACATAAAGGATTCGTCAAAATAGCGAAAGGGTTTATTTGTATGAAAAAAAGAACAAACCCAGATATGAAGCCAGAAATCGTCAAAAAAGAGATTTTTGTGGTAACGAGAATGAGTTAAAATCATGATTAATTCTTGCTCTACGTTCAGCATGTTATAAAGGACTTCCCATAGAAGAGCGACAATAAGAACARCAACCAAAACAAGAACATCAACAACAGTAGCCACAGCAAACGCAACAGCAACAAGAATAGCAACAACAATCAAAACACCAGAATCAATAACATCAACATCAACAACCACAACATCAAGAATAGCAACAACCGCTTCAAGAACAGCAACATCACCAAAAAACGCCAAAAACAATAGCAAAWRCCACGCCAACAGCAAGAGCAGCCACAGCAGCAGCAACATCAACATCAGCAACAATAACAGCAGCAACAACAAAAACAACAACAACAGCAGAAGAAGAGCAACACCAACGCGCATCCGGCACAATAATCAATCTACATGAGTAGGATCGCGTGCCCAGAGCAGTCTCGGACACAATATCATTACTAGCTTTACATACTGGTTGATCGAGMGTCTGTGACAAGGTGTGTAACAGATCCAGACTAAAGTGCAGTACTGTACTGTTCCACAGTAGATGTGGAAACCTGAAACGAACCAATCAAACTTTACTTAATGTTATATATTAGCAACAGAAGTTTCGTAGCTTTTTCCTTGTTTTGTTTGCTTTTCGGAAATTGCTTTTATGTGGTGACAATAGGCGATTTGCATTATGGCGTCATTTACTACAACTACCAGAATGCTTTGCCCACTTTCTTTTGTAATGCAATTAGTGCCAATTGTTTTACTAATCGCTAAGGGGATTAAAAATCTGAATAACAAAGMAAATGYGCAAGGCTTTCTGGTAGTTGTAGTAAAGTTACGCCATCATGCAAATGGCCTATTCAAGCCCAGAATCATCTCGGTGGTCTGCTAATCGATACATATATTTTGTTGACTGACAATAGACTGACAAGTGAAGTGTTTACGTCATATACCATATACGCAATGCATTGCAGGATATGTTTGGATCAAAACATGGAGGATTTCTTTTGTTTTGTCCTGAAACCGATTCCACTGAATGCATTACAAATCACGTAGGTGACGTAAAAGCTTTAAAGGTCTATAAGACGGCATATAACTGTTCTCTAAAATAACGTATGAAAGTGGGGAGAGCGCAAAAACATCGGACCACACGCCAGCCCATCAAAGTGCGCAATTCCCAGTGACGGCGGAGCCGGGGGGGCTAGGCCCCCAATGATTTTCTGATGTTGTTTCTTTAATTCTTGAGAATAAAAAGGAACGAACTTTGACACTGAGACAAAAAACTGCCCCGCCGTCCCTGAATTCCTTGTATAGAGGACTGAAAAGATTAAAATAAACAATGCGGATTCTTACTTATCAACAAGCGACGACAAATATTTGTCAGCCACGCGTCGTATTCTCTTCAACAAGTGATTAAATTTGACCAGTAGGAACTGAGCATGCTCCACTAGCTCTCGTTCGCGCTCCGCTGTCCTTGATTTGCTAGCCATGGTTTCAAGGAAGAAAGAAAAAGCTTTATCACCAATRGCTGCTATACACTGCCACATATCTAGACRAAACARYAATATTGATTAAAGCGATCCCAACACAATGATGATAGATTTGCTTATTAGATGATTGAATGATTAATTGATTAATTGATAATGCGCTTGGTTGTCTGGTTATCTGATTGGTTGATTGATTGATTCGAGTCCAGTCCAGTCCCCAGTTTACACTCTTTTTAAAAATTCAATAGCTGACTTTAGATATTTTGATTCAGAGACCATTCACAAAAGAATTGTAGACGAGGCTCCGGGGAAATAAAATAAGACATAATATTATCCATTGTTTCCCCGGAGCCTCGTCTACAATAGGCAATGTGCATCAACACCATTTTGAGCATCAAAGCATGACGGTAGTCGTACTTATTAAAATATCTCCCTAAGAGCCGTTTTGACATTGTCTTAGTAGAAACGGTAGAATTACTTCTATTTTTTGCTTAGAAAAAGCAAACACTACTAAGGAGGACTGTTTTAGCGGACATAAAAAAGTACGAGGACTACAACTACCATCATGCTTTGCTGCACAAAATGGTGTCGCTGCACATTGCATATTCTTTGTGAATGGTTACTCAACCAAAATATCTAAAGAAGACTATTGGTCACGACGTAAGTAAGCCGTTGAAGACACGTAGGAGACGAGGCCACATTTACAAAGGTTCCCTGCTCCTGTTGGGGAAAATAATCAAAGAAGTTAGTTTCTAAAGAGTCCAACCCTTACCAGCTTTATCTTTCTGAACAGCGCGATCTTCAAGATAATAAAAKATAGAATGGAATGAACCGGAGTCGGAGGATACCCGGAGTGTCTCTAGTCTATAGACTGACAGTAAATAAGTGCAYTGACCAAAGTTGAGCTTATTTACGATGGCAACAATCTCTGGGGAATTGCCAAGTGTCTCCAACACTCGTGCACGGACTTCATTTAATTCAGCCTGAAATAAAACAATTGGTGATATTAAATATGAATAAGTATTTTGTATTTCATTGATGTGTGTCTCTAAAGGCAGCGAAAAGCAAGAGACAGAAACTACCCTATTTCATTATGACGTCAAAGTACGTTTAAATCGAAGAAAGCCATGCTCAAAAACAGCGGAAATTTAGATCAATTCAGTACATTTTCTTGGAAAGTAGAACTCTAATGTATCGTGTTTTGATAAATATAATGTATAAATAATTGCTGAGATGTACATTTTATTTGATATGCAGTCACTTTGATGCCCTCTGAAGACCATAATCCTCAGCGTTAAAACAATCAAATGTTATGATGTGACCTCATAATGAAATTAGGCAAATGAAATAGGGCAATTGAAGAATCGGCAAAAATTGTCTCGCTTATCATCCCAATTGGGTGTCAAAGTAGAAATATTACATTAAACTTCAAATTGGAACAAATTARAGCTTTCGTTTCTCGCCTTACAATGTCTAAAAAGCCTGGAAGGACTCTACAAATCTTAAAAGTGCCTTACCGGAGCGACAGCATCGTTTCGTAAGGCGGARTTRTACATCAATCGTGATCTCAAGTGTTCAGCACCCAGTAGTAATGGCGATTTGGCAGCGATGGTACATGCCCCTATGTACCATTCATTTGGCCACAGTGTCGATCCTTCAACGCCGAATCCCATTACGACGCAGTAAAGCCAGAAGTCCCAGAAGAGCTTATGCAGACGAGCCTTTGGGTCAGTGATAGGTGGAAGACGCTTCATGACTGTGGCAATGACTGGAATAAGGACACCAAGATTACCTGCACTAGACGAAGCCTAAGGAATGCGTTAACAAGTAAGTTAAATCGATCAATGAATTAATCAATCCATCAATCATTTATTCGATTGATCAATTAATC